GTTTTCATGGTTCTGGGGATTGATGAGCAACTGTCTCTTTGTTTATGCTCCCCTAGGTTCGTTTGCTGTTGTTCATTCTGAATAGCCTTAGTTATTCACCAAATCAAATAATGCTTCTGAATTCCTAAATACAAGCCTACATGTTTACCTTAGGCAAACTAAACTATATATGCTTGCCTAGCTGCGCTCCTCTTAAAAAACAGAAAAATAATGAGGCATTGTGCCCATTTTATTAGATGAGCCTCTGAGCTCTGTCTGTTCCTGTCTGTCTCAGAATGGGTTTGTTGCTCAGTTAAACATGCTTGTTATGTGTGAAGATAGGTAAGTTTTGTACAAGGAAACCTCAAAGCAGAAAAGATACTGAACTGAAGAAATGCCGGGGATATAGCTCAGCTGCATAAGCATGTGCCTGGCAAGTGCAAGGTCCTGAGTTCGATTCCTGGTACCAAAAAACAAACAAATAAACAAACAATCCACTGAAGAAACAACAGTTAGTGACAATGCTAAAGGAAAAACAGGCTGCATTGGGCCTGTTATGTTAGTGCGTTCCCCAAGTATTTTAATTCTTCTTTCAGTATAATGTACACATACAAAAAAATGAACAATATTATGTAATATATGGCCAAAAAACCTCCCCCCAGTAATTTGTTAGAAAAACAGACACCTGCATAATCATTAGGCAGTCAAGAAATGGCATAATGCCAGCCCTGCAGAAGCCTGGCCAAACCTTCTCTGTCTTTTGAGATAGGCATTATGACTCAGCATGTGATTATGCCTCTCGTGCCATACTTGGGATTGAATCCAGGGCCTTCCCATTGAGCTACATCCAGCCTTTAAAAAAAAATAAATTTTTTTCTTTTTTGAGACAATCTTGCTAAATTGCTCAGGCTAGGTAATCCTCCTGCCTTGGCCTCGTAGAGTGCTGGGATTATAGGGGTGTACCACCACACCTGACTGGTCAGCTTTTATAAATGCTTACTGTGAGCTTTAAAAGAACATGTAGTCTATAGCATTTATAGAATACTATGTATATTCAGAAGTGAGAGTTGTGGACGAATCATTCAAATCCATAACTTACTGTTTTGTTTTTTCTTTTTATTGTGCTTTTGAAAGATGTGCTAAAATCCCTTGTGGCCATGGATTTACTTATATCTTCTTATATTTCTGATGGCTTTTTATTTCTTTTGAGGCTGTGTTCATAGGTGCATACAAATTTAGATTGTGTCATATAAATTTTGGTAAGTTGATTTTTTTCAGAACATTTTCCTCTTTAAGTTATTTTATTATTTTACTTGTTGGCCTAAAGGCTACTTTTTCTAACATTAATTTAGTAACCTAATTTTCTCTTGGTTATTGTTAATATTTTCCATCCCTTGTAGTCTTCTGGAGCTTTATTTATTACTTTATTTTGGCCAACATAAAGCCTACAGAAAAATTCAACTGACCATATACCTGTCAGTTACATTTGTGAACTGAGATTCTGCCACATTTGCTTTGTCTTTTTCTAGATACACATTTCTCACGTCATCTTTCTCTTTTTTTTTTTTTTGGTCTTTTTGAGGCAGGGTCTTTCTATACAGTTCAGGCTGGCCTTGAGCTCACTTTGTAGCTCAGGCTGGTCTAGAACTTGCGACGATCCTCCTGCCTCAGCCTCCCAAGTGCTGGGATTACAGGTGTGCGCCACCACCCCTGGCTTACCCATTTCTCAAATAAACTTTTTATTTTGGAATGGCTTTAAAAGTTGCATCTGTAGTACAGAGTTCCTGTACAACTTCCCTCCGTTTCCCATTAACATCTTACAGTAACCTTGGTTTGGTTGCCAAAGCTAAGTAATTAACATTGGTGCACTGCTGTTAATTGAATTGTAGATTCATTCAGATTTCACCAATTTTTCCACCGATGTCTTTTTACTTTTAGAGCGTCCTGTCCAGGATACCCCATTGCATTTAGAATATATTTTTTAAAATTTTCAGCTATTTGACAATAAGTTACAGATACCATGACACTTCATTTTGCAGTACGTTAATATATGTCACCTAAGAACTAGGACGTTTTATACAATCACAGCATTTTTATGCTTAAGAAATTTAACATGATAAAATAATATTAGGTAATAAACTTTCCAAATAAAATTGGGTAATAAAATTTCCCCAATGAATCATCAATGCATTTTATTTTATTTAATTAATTAATGAATAGTCTTTTTTAAGACAGGGTCCCTGGCCTTGAACTCACTTTGTAGTCCAGACTGTCCTTGAACTCACGGCGATCCTCCTGCCACAGCCTCCCGAGTCCTGGGATTACAGGCATGTGCCATCACACCCTGCAACATACTTTATTTTTAAACCCCTCAAGATCCAGTCAGAAATAAAGCATTACATTTTGTGGTCTGTTAATGTCCTTTAAACTAAGAGAGTTTCTCTTGTGTGACAGAGACTTTTTTTTTTTTGGTGACAGAGACAGTTTTGAAAATTAACCCAGTTGTCATTAGGATGCCTCTGTCTGGATTTGTCTATTTTCTTATATTTAGAATTGTTTAGGTCTTTTTGTTGTTGCTGTTTTTTTTGAGACAGAGTCTTGCTTTGTAATGCAGGCTAACCTTGAACTCACTATACATCCCAGACTGGCCTTGAAGTCATGGTGATCCTCCTGCCTCGGCCTCCTGAGTGCTGAGATTACAGATGTGAGCCACCTTGCCCAGCTAAAATTGTTTAGCTCTTCAAAAGAGTACTGTATGAGTAATTTCCATTAGATCATGTGAGCATTAATATATTGTAGATGTTCTATCATTGGTGGTACTAAGTTAGATCACTTAGTTAAAATGATATCTTTGTGTTCCTCCACTGAGGTGCTGTCTTCAGACTTGAAGTCTTGAATGCTTGTCCTGCCGTCTGCCCTTATTTTTGAAATATGGCCCCCATGGTGATTGGTATTAGGAAGTAGGGTATCTGCAAGGCAAGACTAGGTTCTGAGGGCTGCTGCCTCACGAGTGAGGTTCATGTCTCGGTGAAAGGGCTGGTGGGAGCTCTTCTGCCTTTCTCCGTGTGAGGATGTGGAAGGGTACCATCCTCTGAAGAGTGGGCTTTCACCACGCCTTTGATCTGGATTTCACAGCCGCCAGACTGTGCCAGAAATGTCTGCTATTTATAAATCGCCAGTCTTGGATCCTTTGTTATCACAGCCCAGATGAGCTATGATGCCTGTTTATAACCAAGCTTTTACCAAGTGGTGGTGACGTTTGTGGTTAATCTTTCTGTCCAATATTACATCGATGGCTGTAATGTGGTGAGTTCTTTTTTTTTATCCATTTTTTTCCGGTACTGGAATTGAACTCTGTGGTGAGTTCTTAAACATGGTTATCATTTTTTCTACATGTACTGGGTGTCATTCTTCTATAAGAGGAGTCTATATAAATCAGAGTTTTTTCTTTCATCTTTCTTTTCAAATCACTGTGGACTGTTGCATTTTTTTGTTCTCGTCTTTGATGCATGCTGTAATCCATTGCCATCATTATTCTTTGAATGCTCACATTTTCCTAAATTCCTCAGTGGGACCCCACTCCCACTGGCTCCTGAGTCCTTTAGTTATCTCCCCATCAGACCCGGAGCATTTCTTTCTTAAAACCTAGCTCACTTTGTGTTTTTCTGTCTTGGAAGTGGATTCATTCTTTTCAAGGAACTCCACTTCATTTTAATGGAGAATGTATTAAGAAACTAAGATCCAAGTGTTTTGTGTGCATACTGCTACCAGATACATTGCTCTTTTAAGCTTTTCTGACTGATAGAGCCAAGAAATACATGTACCAATCTATAGGGATAATACAGACATGTATTTGTAAGTAGTATTTTTACCGTAAACCACATAATTTTTTTGTTTTTTTGTCTTCTCCCCTTTTCATGTAGTGAGAACTCTGATTCTTAAGAACCTTACTATATGTACACATTTGGTCTATCAGTAATTTCAGAATTACCGTTTGAATACTACTACTAACAAATCTAAGTAGAGTTTACTTTTTTTTGTTTTGTTAGATTTTTTTTAGTTATTGTGTCCTTAAAACATATCTCACCGAGTGATATATAGCACTATAGTCAAATGTTTCTTGAATTAATTTTTTTGTATGTGCCTTATATATAGTGATACACAGCACTATAGTCAAATGAGTGATATACAGCACTATAGTCAAATGTGTCTTGAATTAATTTTTTTGTATGTGCCTTCTTAAGTATTTCTTGAGTTATATTTATGTGATTTTAATATAAAGTTGTCTCTTCTCATATTGTTTTATGATTTGCTTTTTTTAAAACCATTTGCTTTTTGAGTAAGCGTAAAACATAGTTAAAAAGGCAAAACCATATCCATTCAGGGAATTCTTATTCTCTTGTCCTGCTTCCCACTCACTTGATAGCTAGCTATTGTAATTAGTTTCTGGTTTTTTGTTTTTGTTTGTTTTTTTTTGGTACCGAGAATTGAACTCAATCTCTCTCGCTTGCTAGGCAGGCCCTTATGCCACTGAACTATATCCCCAGCCCCCCCTTTAAAAGTAATTTCTGAGTTCTATTCTCCATCTTTTTTTTTCACATAGAAGGGCAAGTAATTTATATATACTTTAATTTTTTCTTTCTTATGCAAACAGTAGCAGGATATAGTTATTTATAGAATTACATATAAATTCTTTTACACCTTTTTAAAGTTAACATAGTGTGGATGTTTTTCTACTGTGGTTTGTAGAGATCTCTTTCTTCCTCTTGTTTTTCTCCCTTCCCTCACCCCTACCCCATTTCCCTCCAGCTCCCCTAGACAATACTGTTGTAAAGGTGGACTATGGTTTACTCAGCCAGTCTCTTGTGGATGGGCATTTAGTTCGTTTCTAAGTATTTGATATTTTGTAGACTTGCTCTAGAATGTATAGTGTGTAACCTTATAGTAAGTGGCTTCACATCTGTGTATTTTTTTTTTTTTTTTTTTATGGTACCGGGAATCGAACTCACGACCTTGTGCTTGCCAGGCAGGCGCTGTGCCACTGAGCTAAATCCCCAGCCCCACATCTTTGTATTTTTGAGGTGTACTTTCAGATGAAGTTTCTGTCAGTTGGCTCACAGGTCCAAGGTTAAATGCGTATGTAGTTGTTAGTGGATGCCCGGGCGAAAGCGTTTTAGGTGGAGGGAAGGGCGTGCACAGGGGCCCTGCGATGGGACGCTTGGCCCTGTGGCTGCTGTGCTGAAGAGCAGCACGGCGCCCACATGGAGAGACGGGGCTGGCAGTGAAAGTGGGCTACTCAGGGTCCTGTGTACTATGTCAGAGCACTGAGCTCCAGCACCGTTTTCTGTATTCCCAGGAGATTGTGGCACACTTGATAGGCAAAGAACTCTCCTATTGTGGCCTGGAATTTCCTATGTACCCCATGAATTTGGGATCTTCCTGACTCATCCTCCCAAATGCTGGGATTACAGACATGCTCCACATTAATGTCTTCAGGTGTAACGCTCTGCCCCAAAATTTGCAGCATCAGTTTTTAAATTGCTCTCTGCCGGGCGTGGTGGTGCACACCTGTAGTCCCAGCCCTTGGGAGGCCAAGGCAGAAGGATTGCTGTTCGTTCGAGGCCAGCCTGGGCAACACAGCAAGACCTTGTCTCAAAATAAAAATAAAAATAAAAAGTAAATTGCTCACTGCTATGCTGGAGCTAACTGGTTATGTGGTAAAAAGAAAAAAACACTGGGGTAGGACATGACCCTTCTCCCAGGGGACTTAAGCAGCAGCCAGTGGTGGTGTGTTCTTCTGTCTCTTGTACTTCTTCACCACAAGGTAAGTCCAGAGCTGTGCTGTCCAGTGCTTTAGCCACCAGCCAGTGTGTCTATTTGAAATTCGGCTAATCTGAATTGAGCTGTGCTTGCTCTAAGTGTAAGATATATTCTGGATACCAAAGGCTTAGTATGCAAAAAGAATTAAAATATTTCAATAATTTAAAAATATTGATTATATTCTGGAATAGTGTTATTTTTAATATACTGGGTTAAATAAATATAAAATTAATTTCACATTTGTACTTTTTTAAATGTGATTTATAGGAAATTTAAGATTGCATGTGGGGCTCAATGACGTTTCTGTTTGTTAGCATGGTCTGGAGAGTTACTGCAGTTTAGGCTAAACATTACTCCCGCTGAATCAAATCAAGAGGTGTATAATCCTCATTCCTCTGTAGTGACACTAATTTTAATAAATTCGAAATTGTCTGTATTAAGGATGTATTTTGATCACTTCCTGGATGTTCTGTTGTAAAGATGCTTTTGTTAAAACTACTTCCACAGCTTCTATTTCAGGTTACTTTTTTTTTCTTTTAAAAATCCACTTCAGAACTTTCCATGGAAAAGATACATTGTGAGGACTTCTGGATCTCTCCAGAGTTGATGCATATATTTTTTTTCTTTTGCAATTAGAAATATGTGGAGTGATACTTTGACACTTTGAGAATATTCTGTTCCCAGTCTTTTTTACCTAATAGTTTAGTGCCTGTTGAAGCTATTTTCCTAATTAATAGGAAAATTGGGGGCTATGGAAAATGGTTTTTCTTATGCTGTCATTTCTTTTTTCATAAATAACATTCTTCTATACTGAACTATTTTTTTTTTCACATTTCTTAAAAGTGAGAATTAGCTGTGTGGTATGTGGATGAGTCACTTTATACAGTAGGTGTTTGATTAGAAAAGTTGGATACAAATGAAAATTGTAAAATATGGAATCGTAGCTTACATGTACAGTGGTTGTTCACTCTTCAAGGGAAACGTACTGTAACTTTTAAATCTGGTTATCACTCTTATTATTCTTATAACCTGAATTTTCACATATGACAGTTATTCAGCACATTACTGAGTGTGTATTTTATGATGTGCCGGGCACTGGTGTACCCTTGCAAGAGACACAGCTGTGATTTGTGTCGGATGCTCTGTACACATAGGACGTCTCACCTAAACATGGAGTTAAGCCGGTGACCATTGTTCTGGGAATGCAGGCAGTTAGGAAACTGTCCTGCGAATCTTGATTTGGAAGGGTTACAGGCTTTTGCTAGCAATCCCAGGCAAGGAAATGCTCTGAAGTTCAAAAACTGTATTATTCTTCATAGGACTGAAGTTATGATGCCCCTCTCATCTGGCTGCTGTAGTTTGCAATTTGCTACTCATTGTCAATTTGCTGCTCTCAAACTACTCTTACTGTCTTTCTAATGTAACATTGAATTATGGTTTCAAATTCTACCCCTCAGTGTGCAGTTTTGCCTAATTTTTGGTCCTCTGAAGACATTTCCCAGTGTTTCTGAGGTCCATCCCTCTGTGAAGCATATCTTAGAGGCACCTGTTAGTGGCTTTTCAGAACAGTAGGGAGGCTCTTAGCAGCTAAGTCCTGCTTAGCTCACTAGTTTCCTTCTGGGCTGAGGAGGAAAGAAGCATTACTTCTTTGCTCTTCCATGAACATTTTCCCAGTTCATAGCAGAGCAAGGGATTCCTAGAAGTTTGAAGTAGTCTTGGGGCTTGGGGTAACCTCCTGTCTGGAATTTGGGAAGACCACATTGGTAAGATTGCTACGTATAGTATCTGGATGGGAAGATCTTCCTGTTCCTGTTTTGACTAAGCTGTGATAGTCTTCTCTTCTTGCTGAATTGCGCCAGGAATCTAGAGATTTAAGAGAGGCCCCTGCTGCTTCTCAGCTATAGAATGGCAGAAATCTGCAGCTTCTGAGATTTCCAAGGAAGATTGAGTGACAGTTACACTTAGCTGGATAAATGTTATATTTGATATCTGAATGTTATCCCAAAGCCTCATGCGCTCATAAGTGGGGCTTTGGGGAGCTGATTGGATCATGGGGTGGGGATGCTCAGTGCATTTATAGCTAAATGTGATGTTGGCTGAAGACTGGCTGGAGGAACAGCTCACTGGGGGCGCTTTCCTTGAGCTTCTGTTTCCTGATGGCATACTATAAATGCCTCTCCTCTGCCATGCCACTGTGGCTTGGAGTGAGCTGATTATGGACTGAAACCTCTACAAACTGAGCCAAGACAAAGCTTTCCTCTTTTAAACTGTGGGTGTTGGGTATTATGGCTCAGGTGACTAAGACAAGATATCTCTTAAAGCCAAGGGATTTTCCCACTAAAGATAAGATGTCTTTTGATTTTTTTTAAATTTAAGCTGCATCTCTAGTACTTCCTTTAAAATAGACACTTTAAAGTCTTTCAAGTGGTACAATGTCTGTGAGTTACACAGCTGTGACCTCAGGTTCTAGAATATCAAATCAGCATTCTTTTAAAGAGGTATTTCACTTTAGATTGACCCTCAGTCTGGAATCAGCCATCTTATTGCCAAGGATATATTGGACAAGGATACCCAGTCGTAAGAAGACTCTTCCGCTTCTCGCCATGAATTGGTTCGGACGTTACTTCCCTAAGCGCTCCGAGGATGTTCCCTTACTCAGAACACACTCACCTCTGCTCTTTTCACTGATGTCATCTGAAGGTGGACATTTCGTTTCCAACTTGAGGTAGTGAGTAGGATAATTTCCCCCGCAAGCCTTTGCACTTTTGTTGGAATTTCAAACCAGTCTCTCCTTGAGTCCCAGGGAAAGGGAAGCTGGACCTGGGAAGAAAGTGACTTCAGACCTTTCTCATGTGTACTTGAAAAGGGGGTGGCTGATTAGTTCCTTCTGGCCTCGTGGCTGGTGAAAAGAACTGGCTCGGACGTCTCCTCATTCTTAGCTTGCCGTGTTGTACCCTGATCAAGTGAACTTTATTTCTGGTGACTGTCAATAATTTCCACCCCTTTGGAATCAAAATTCAAGGGTTTTGGCTTTGGTTAAGAATGTGAAATCATCCAGGAGGCCTGAGTAGAAGGCAGAATAAATTCTTAGTTTGGTAAGTTTGATTAAAGAAGAGAGTGACGTGAAACTTTCAGGCTGAATGAAGTCCTAGGCCTGTGGGGACATGCAGTGGGAAAAGTACTTAGATGCCAGGAGAGGAGGAGATAGAATAGAATGAGGCCAAAGGGGGCAAGTGTGCATCTCCTGGCACTGGTAACTAGGTAGGAGTCATCCTCCTGTCTCCCCACCAGTCAAAGCTGCCTGCTACTTCTATTGAATAGCGTTACCAGCTTTCTTGGTTTGCCTGGGATGGGACCAGTTTTAGCACTGAAAGTTCCCCATCCCGGTGAAACCTTTCATCCTGGGAAAATTGGGATGGCTCGTTACCCTGGCTAAGTTTTAAGGTGTTGAGGTAGCACACGACAACTGAAAAACGGGTCCAGATCTCCTTTCACCTTTGCTTTCAGGAAAGTAGACACAATGCCCTAGGGTATGTACCGGGTCCTGAGATTAAAATAATGTCTGCCATCGATTGCAGGCGTCCTGTGTGCCAAATACACGGTCTTGGTTAATAACTCACTGGTAGTCAAAGCAGCTAGGGCATTAAATCCAGTTTCATGGTACAGGAAGAGGCCAAAGCTGAGGGATGTAACGAGTTTATGGTTTCTGAGGTCAGACAGCTAGGATGTAGCTGAGGCATGTTTGAACTTTAGTATGCCTCAATCGAAATTTGTGCTTTTTCCACTAAATGAACTTCTTTTTTTAAGAGAAAAGAGCTGGGTGTGGTGGTGCACGCCTGTAATCCCAGCACTCTGGAGGCAGAGGCAGGAGGATCGTTGCAAGTTCGAAACCAGCTTGGGCTACAAAGTGAGCTCAAGGCCAGCCTGAACAGCATAGAGACCCTGTCTCAAAAAACGAGCAAACAAACAAACAAAAACAAAAAAAAAAAGAGAAAAGAACAAAAGCAAAATAACAGAAACAAAACAACACAAAAACACTAGACAGAATTTCAAAACAAGTGATAGGAAATCAACAGTGGTTGTTGTATTACTTATCTTCAAAGTAGTTGCTCAGATTACCAGATATAACTATGCAAGATGATCAAACAAACATTAACGGTAAATAAGCTTGTTTGTTTATTTATTTATTTTTTCTGGTACTGGGAATCGAACTCACAACCTCGTGCTTGCCAGGCAGGTGCTGTGCTACTGAGCTAAATCCCCAGCCCCTAGATGAGCTTGTTTAAATGAACTTAATAAATGGATAGGCTCTGACTTAGCATGATACGGTGGCCGGCAGCTTCACCTTCTGTTTCCAAACTCATTCCTGTTCCTCATGGTGGCATAAGATTTCCTGGGATAATGTACGGAAAGGCAGTCCAGTAAGCTAAATAGCTACTTCGGTCTTATACTTGCAGCAACCCCTGATTCCCCCTTCCGTCCTAACGGGAACTAAGTGCAGGCACTAGCATGTGCTCAGTGAATGGTTGTTATTTTAATTATGGCAGCTGAACAGTAACCTGGAACTCAAATGTCTCAGCTAATGTATGTAAACTCAAATATTTTAATTGAAAAATCACCAAAGATTTAAGGTAGTAAGGAAAGAAATAATATGCGTCTCCTTGAGTTTAATATTAGGCAAACACTTTTTCCCCCAAAGAAAAGCTGTCCTCTTGGTTATTTGATTTGGAATTGATAGAAGACGGCTTCCTTGCTGTGATAAAAGGTGTTATGCATGTAATTCTAAGATAGAAGCAAAAAATTATATTCTAGCCTGGCAGCTGTAAATAGCTTTTTTTCAGGGGAAAATCTAACCCAGGTGCTCAGCCCTAAAAAGTCCTTCTACTGAAATGAGAGATGAAGGAAGCTCTCAGTGCAAGTTCTCAGTGGGTGGGGAGTGACATGGAGCGGGACAAGCCTTCGACTGTGGAGGGATACAGAAAGCTTGTAGGCCACCCCTGCCTTTATTCCATCAATTCACACCAGAGAGGTCTGCCTTTACTAGAGAATGAGATGCACTTGAAGTCATATAGATTAGAGAAACTAGATATGAGGAAGACTCAAATACAACAGAAGAGACAAAATCCATTTGATTCGTTTTAGCAAATATGTACCATGTACCCACAAGATTTTTAGGTACAGTGTGCTAGATGCTGGGCATGTCGGGAGGACCAGCGCATAACGCACCCTCCTGGCCTCAAGGAGGTCACATGGAGGTAGAGAAATAACCCAAGTATAGAAGTAGTTTCCTCAGGGCCAATTTCAAGTATTCATAGATGTTTTAGGTTGCTTGGGCTGCTGAAACAAAAGACCACAGACTGGGTGGAAAAGAAGAGACGTTCATTTTCTTATAGTTCTGGAGGCTGAATGTCTGAGACCACTGTCCAGCGTAGTTGTTGGGTTTTGGTGAGTGCTGTCTTCCTGGCTTGGAGTGTGCTCACCTCACAAGGCTATTTCCCCTGTGCACGTGGCGAGAGGGACAGGGAGAGGGAGAGGCAGCAGAGCAGAGAGTGAGCTATGCCTTTCTCTTATAAGGCTGCCAGTCCCACTGAACTAGTGTCTCACCCCTCTGAACTCATCTATGAGCCTTGTCTCCATAGATAGCCACACTGGGGGCTGGGGCTTCAACACAAATTCTAGGGAATAGAAGTCAGTCCACAGAAATAGGCTGTAACTCACATGAAAGCATTAAAATGGGCTCTCTGCCTCTTTCTCTTTCTCTTTTTCTCTCTATTTCTCTGTCTCTATATAAAATATATAATACGTATTTATAAATTTGCTTTTGAAATTATCTGGCTATGAGTAATTCACTTAATTACTAGCTGCTGCTTCTTAGCAATCATAGATACTTGGGAATTTTTGCAAAACAATTTCCAAATTGCCTTCAAATGTAGTAAAACGTGAGTTCTGCATTTGACAATTAATGAAATTACCATAATGTTAAATTTCTGTGTTTATGCATTAATTTGTAGGTTGCACTTTTTATATTTTGGAGCCAGTGCTCTTGAAAAGCTCACTAGATCCTCAGTATTGTCTGTATGCCTAATGGATAAAAGGGCTGGAGGTGGCTCATAGATCTACCCAGTTCTACAGGTGCTTGATGCCAATGGTTTATTAGAAACTGATAATCTCAAGATACTTTCTTTTTCTTTTTGGTACTGAGAATCGAACTCAGGACCTTGTGTTTGCTAAGTAGGCGCTTGTGCTGCTGAGCTGTATCCCCAGCCCTCTGCCCAGTTCTAAACAGGTCACTGTCAGCCCCACCTGTCTTACAAGCTCTGGTGCAGCGTTTTCCTTTCTGTGAGGTGTCTTCTCGCTGTGTCACTGGCACTTTACTTTGGGTGTATTCTGATCCTTTTCTTCCCTCCCAACTGCCTTCCTATTTTCATTGCCAACTCTGCACACCGACTGCATCGCATAGATAGTGGGAGACTTGGAGGCTATTACAATCACTGTCAGTGGTGTCCACGTCTACTGGTAATTGTTTATTCTGTCTGAAGTATGAGGCGAGTTCTTTATTTTTTAGCTCACCAGAGTCAGGTACAAATTCTTAATGAGGCTGGCCAACATTAGACCACAGCCCAACATCAGACTCATCGGAGGGCCCTTCTACCCCACCCTTGGCCCACATCTTCCGTGAGGCAAAATGTAGCATACCCCTCCCTATGGGAATTACTCCAGCCATCCCCATTATTACAGTTCAGGGAAACCTGACTTTCAGCCTCAGAAAGAGAAGGAAGTACCCAACCCCTGAGCCTTCATTCCCTACCTCTGAATGATAGTGGGAATATCCACTCCTTTCAGAGAAAATGAAATTATGCTTTTTGATCCTATGAGGACAAATCATATTATAATTTCATATCAAGATATACTGTGAATTGGGCTAGTCACTTAAGTGATAGTGTGTGTTAACTTCTATAGTCTAGTCCAGGTTTCCAGTTCCTTGTCAGACTGTCTTCTACAAAGGTTCAAAACCCTCGGGAGTTAGCTCTCTCACGTCCCCTTGTAGCCTGATATAGTGGCTATAAGCTGCCTGTAATCCCAGCTGCAGCAGGAGTCCCAAGTTTGAGCCCAGCCTGGGAAATTTAGTAATGTAGCAGGACACTTTAAACATAATAAAAAATTTTAAAAGGGCTGGAGGTAAAGCTCAGGGTGAAGGCTCTGGATTCAGTTCCCAGTACGAGAGGTGGGGGTGGGAGGTCATCTCACCATGTCACACACACTTTGGGCACAGTAAACTAACTAGGTGTCTTTCAGTTGATCAAACAAACAAGTAGTTCTTTCATCTGAATGAACAGAAAAAGAGCATAAGCCAGTTAACCAAAACCAGTCTCCAGGAACTGGCCTAGTAGGAGTTCAACTGAGGCCTCTTTCAAATATGTGAACTTATAGTAAGCACTGAGAAACACTGAGGTGTGGTAGACTTGATGCTGAGTCTGAGTGACGGGATGTGGAATAATCCAGCAAAAAGTCACGGGAGAAGGTGTGGTGGAAGAGGAGAGAGGGAGATGGTGAAGTCTGGCCCTCGTTCTTGGCTTCCTATCTCTCACTGTTGTCGTGCTCTAGTGCTATTCTGATCATCTTGGTTCCCACGTTAATCATCATTTTGACTCTCCAGGAGCCACGGACCCGCCCGCCCCGTGGTGAAGCAGCCTGTCCGTGGAGCCAGTAGCAGAACCGCAATCACAGCGATCATTCAGATCGGCGGGGATTGGAGCACTGGCCTCTTCAGTGTCTGCAGAGATAGGAGAATTTGTACGTTTCCCCTTCATTTAAGTTCCTCCTTACTATTTTCTTTCCCAAGACATCAGTAAATGAAAAAGCTACATCGGGCACAAGGACAGCAATTAAATGGATTCAGAGCAACTGGAATAATCTTCCAGTGACTCACATTTACTCCTCAGCTGGAGAAGTCTTGCTTTTCGGCAGTGTGGATGCTTTCATAGAATTCAGAGATTTTTGTAAATGATAAAAACCGCTGTTAGCAAAGATATAGCAAATGGGCTCCCTTATCCTCTGGTGGGGGGTGTAAATTGGTGCAGCCCTCCTGCTAGATGGCTTAGCAATACATACAGAAAGATACTCAAGAGTTACGGAGATTTTGACCCAATAATTGAGGCTTTTTACACTTGTTTCTCTTTTTTATTTTTTTATTTTTTATTTTATTTTATTTTATTTTTTTTTATTTTAAGGATAAAAGGAGGGAAACATTAACAGACATA